CTGGCCTGCTCGCGCAGCCTGGCTGCACTGGCCTGGGCCGAGAAGCTTCCGGAATGGCCCCAGGAGGCTGCCTGTATGCAGCAGCTACTGGGCTGCTGGGCCTCGTTCGGTTGGGCGCCCAACTGTCTCTGTATGAGGCTGCGAATCACGCCCATGGCCTGCATTCTTTGGAAAAGCCCGGACGGCTGTGGAAATGTCTTTGTGGCCTGGCCTGAGTTTCTCTCAACCAACTGGCGCGTCGCAACTGCCTGGACCCCAAATATGAAATTGACAGTCGAGGGCCTCTTGTGATATGTTAGGCCCGCCTCCACCTAGGGCGGGCACCTCCGCCTTCACGTAGGGCGGGCAATGCTGCAAACAGGGCCCCATAGGCCTACCGAGGACACAGATCCTCGCAAATGTCCGAACCGCAAAAAAAAAAAAAAAGAAGAAGGGGGGGAAGGGGGGGGCTGACGGTATGTTACAGAGTTTAAAAGAGTCAAATGCAAATATGGAAAAGCAGAAATCCCCGAATTTTTTCCGTCAGTGTGCTCGCAGACAAACACAGCAAAAGGAAATATAATTGTTAGAGCCAGTTTGGCCCCACCCTCGCGCCTCCACTCTCTCTCCCCATTCTCCCATCTGTTCACAGAACTCAATCAGTCATTAACACAAAGATTCGACAGCATAATGCCACCCCTCAACGGGGTCAAGACATTCCCACAAAAAAATGAACAGCATTACACCACCCCCACAGGGTCAAGGAGATGCAACCACAAAAGATTTGAGAAGAGCTTCGAGCCTTCACGGCAGACAACTGAATCTGACAGCAGGGGGCCAGGAATTTCGAACGAAAATTTGAAATTTCGACATCATGATGACACCCCCTATGGGTTCGATAAGTTGAAACAAGCAGAAATTTCAACCAACATTCGATACAAACAGCAAAAGTTAGAGCCAAGATTCCAGCCATGATTTCAGCCAAGACTTGAGCAAAGAACATCCAAGCAAAAGTCCAAGCACCTGACGCATCCCCCAGGGGGTCCAACAACAGTAACAGAAATCAATCAATCAATCAATCGATCAAGTCAGTCAATCAGTCGATCAATCAATCAATCAATCAATCAATCAATCAATCTATCAAACCAATCCATCAATCGACTGATGGCTTGATTTGATTGATTGATTGATTGATTGATTGATTGATTGATTGACTGACTTGATCGATTGATTGACTGACTTGATCGATTGATTGATTGACTGATTGATTGACTGATTGATTGATTGATTGATTGATTGATTGATTGATTTCCTTGAACAGATAGACGTGAGAAGTTTGAATGGCAAAAGCATGAGGAACATGTGAAGTTTGAACGACAAAAAAAAAAAAAAAAAAGCCGTCGGCACAAGTCCGACTAATGTCGAGCACGTAATGCACCCGACAGGGGGATCACCGACAGTCATGGAAACCAATCAATCAAATCAATCCATCAATCAATAAAGATATTCAATCAGTCAAATCAATCCATTGATCAATTAAAATCTTCTTGATTGAGTGATGGATTGATTTGATTGATTGATTTGATTGATTGATTTGATTGATTGATTGATTGGTTTGTTGCCTTAAACAGCTGGATCACATGTGAGAAGCGACGAATGGCAAAAAAAGAGTTGTGGCCGACTCCTGCCTTCACCGGAATAAACGCCCAGTCATTATCGCTGCATCTGGACTGAAAGTTGCCCCAAATACAGCTATAATGACTGGGCATTCTATTCGGGTGAAGACTGAAGGTTCGTTAACATTTCAAAAATTAGTCAGGGAAAACAAGAGAGATCACCCAACTTGGACATCTGTCATCCCCTCCAAGGATATCCACCCTCCCACTTCTCGTCATCTTCCCCCCTCGTTCTTGTGATTTTCCACCTCCTCCTCCTGTTCGTCCACCTCGTCCAAGTTCATGCTTCGAAGTTGAAGATGCACCTGTCACCCGTACTCCATCCAAGTTCACCTGCTTCGAAGTTCAAGGCGCACCCATCACCCATTCTCTGTCCAAGTTCACCCATCCAAGAATGCTTCAAAGTTCAAGTAAGCCACGAGAGATAGAGAGAGAGAGAGAGAGAGTGGAGAGGGGGAAAGAGAGAGTACAGCCGTCACCCATACTCCATCCAACATTGCGCCGGGCCGACGACAGTTTTGAGGTTCAAGTAAGCGCCGATCCGAGGAAAGTTTCGAGGTTCAAGTAAGCAAGGAGAGAGAGAGAGAGAGAGAGAGAGAGAGAGAGAGAGAGAGAGAGAGAGAGAGAGAGAGAGTGACCTGCTGGTTGCTTGCTCCTTGCTCGCTGGGCGGCGGCTGGCTGTCGATCCTTCCTAGCTGGCTGCCTGCTGCTTCCTGGCTGCATGGCTCTCGCCTTCATCTCTGGTTGGCTTTCGCTCTCCTGGCTGGCTGGTCCTGACATTTGCTCAAGGATGGTGCAGGGTGGTGGTGGTAGTGGCAGCGGGAACTCCTAAACGGGCATCGGCAACGGGCGCAAATTCACAACTTGCCCCGCCCTCCTGCCCGCCACCGTACTTCCAATGGACAGGTCTGAGTCCGTCCGACAGTGGACACCGGACCTGTGCAGAATTTTCCAGTCTGTCCGCACACCGGTGCAGACGTCCGGTCGGTTACCATGATAAAAACATTTTTTTTTTTTTTTTTTGGCCCGGCCAGGCAAGCGGTCCCGGGCCATTCTGGTAGCCTAGCTATTGCTCATTTTCCTTGCAATTATAAGGAATGACTAGAATTTGCTGGGAAACTTTCATTATGCCCTTCAATGATGTGTTCACCTATGTTTTGCCCCTCAAAGGCTCAAACAGCTTGCTTATACTGCCATGTCTCTCTGATGGGGGTTCAAATTTGCAAAATGTCCCTGATGTTGTTTCGGCCTGACATGTTTTGAGCATCCCCCTGCCGTTACTTGTCCAACTTTATGGAATGCCTTGGCATATATGGCTGCTCATGACTGAAATTTGTGATTTGCCCCTAACAGTACCGCGCATGCCACAAAGTTGCTCGTCCCTCCTGGCTCCGCTGATACCATTCCAGGTCGGAGGGGCGGCATAAACCAGCTGTTTGAGGGACGGAATGCAAATATACTTGTCTGTGAGGTGCAAAAGAAAAGAATTCCCATAGAGTTTTCCTCACCATGAACAGATTTTTTTGTCGTTGCTCTGCTGAAAGGATCTCTTGAGTGAAGCTATTCTGGGGGCATAGCTAAAAGAATAACGGACAGGGTCAGACGAGCAGTTCGTTTCAAAAAGGAAAATTCTGAATCATGTTTCCCTTGTCTTCTTGTGGTGGGGCAGGCGGTTGTGAAAGTTGTGACAATGTACAGGAACAACGACGAAATTGAGCGTGCAAGACCGGGGGAGAATCTGAGAGTTCGACTTGCGAATGTGGAGGAGGAAGAGATATCGACCGGATTTGTTCTCTCAAGCATTAGTAAGCGCATCTGCCTACCGTCTTCCCCCAAACACAGTGCACCCTTTTCATGACTGTATCGTACCAGGAAATTTGCTTGTATACATTCATCATAAGGGTGCGTTCTGTTCGGGGCAAGATCGCAGCCTGAAAGTGCTTGATACAATGTTTTTGACACTTTTACAGAATTGCAAATCTTGGAATGCGAAATTCCCTTGCTATGCTCTTTGAGTCTTTGTTGTGAAAAGAACATGGGGAAGTGGTTGGCATTGGAATGCAAGAAAGGTGCTGTGCTCGAGTAGTGCAGGTCCATGTGGCTACTACCAGTCAAAATTTGCGGGTTGCAGTTCAGATTTTTTTTTTTGGGGGTGGGAACCATTTCTCGATTCATGTGTGTCATCCTTACGCAGGGGCCGTGCTAATCTTCTCTGTATCATCTATCTACTACATCCTTAACACTCCTAAAGAAAATAGCGGTCCTCGTGTAACGCTACCGTGAAACCTGGCTGCCACTCTTGGGAAAGCGTTCCTTCCCAGTTGAGCCCGCTGCGCAGAAGGGACTGCAGTGGGCGGGGCATCTGCTAGACTGCTGCCGCATGTTTGAATACAAGTACATAGCACCACCGACTACAGAGCTGCCTATTTTTTTCCCCCCAAGTAGATTCGTTGGTTTCTCCCAGCAGATCCGGTTTTGTTTTTGTCGTTTTTGCGGAGTTGGATCCAGTTTTGTTTTTGTCGTTTTTGTGGAGTTGGATCCGGTTTTGTTTCTGTCGTTTTCGCGGAGTTGGGGGACAAAACAGCGTCACTGCACTACTCTCCACATGCACAAAAGATAAAAAAGATGGCAATGTATCTTTCCGTGTTCTAGGAGTGGATTCAGTCTCATTTTCGACGTTTAGAGAGTGGACAAAAGATGAAAAATATCGCAATGTATCTCTCCATGTTCTAGGAGTGGATTCAGTCTCATTTTGGACATTTGGAGAGAGGTGCAGCGAGGCCCAAAGAATGGCCGTGTATCGTTCACTGATCTAGGGGAAGATTCGTTTCAACTTTGGGCCTCGCTGCACTACTCTCCACATACAGAAAAGACAAAAATATGGTAATGTATGTTTCCATGTTCTACGCTGTCCATTCGACTCTACATCTCATGCTTACACAAGCAACTAACTCAGAATGGCAATGTATATCTCGAGCCCTCTGCCGAGCCACCCCTGCCTGGCGCTTCCGCTTGCTGCAATGGTTGCAAACGAATGTCTCAACTCCGAGCTCACACCTAACATTCATGCATGCAATGGTTGCAAACGAATGTCTCAACTCCGAGCTCACACCTAACATTCATCGACTGGAGCGCATGATGCGTGGTCTGCAGTATTCACGGCAGCCATACTGCGGCCCTGCACATGATAGGGTTCCGTTCGTAAATTTCATTCAGGTCATGCACATGCATCAGGTTGCTCGCACCACACAGTTACAGAGCGTCCTTCTCCCAGAGGTTGCTGAATTACATCCATGCCCTGCCCTTGCCAAGGAGATGCATATCTGCGGCAAGATGGTGCCACCCTTCCAGTTCTGTAATTTTACAGAAGTGGCACTCGACATAACAAGCAATATGCCTCTTCCAGACCCTGGCAAATGTCCTTGTCGACAAGTATTCCCACAATGTGTAGACAGTGTTGATGGTCATGTAGCCACAGTGAACTACATACACACTTGTGGGCCCTCTTCTTTGAAGGCTCCAAGTACCGCCTCAATGCCGACACCACAAATGTGATGAAGGCATTGAACCTCGGTTTGGACGAGTATATTGCCAAATTTATAGCAACCATTAGATTAGCACGCAATAAAGAGTCTCTGATTGCTGACAGTCTCTCTCAGCTGCGCAGATGGCGCACAACAGTTCTTTCAAGATGCGAATGGAATTTTACCGCGTCACTGTCCCAAGCACCTACTCCAACTGCCTCGCGTGATGCCAACACACCTCTTTGGCAGCTGCAGCAGCAATTTGCCGTAGTACCTGTCGATAAAACATCACACAACATGGCAATCTCCTGCAATTGCTGGTACGCATATAAGTTATCACAGCATCTTGACAGTTCCACCTACAATCAAGCATCGGAGACAATGGCTAGCATCCTCAAACGCCATGCACTTTTCAACCAACTTTGGGCCTATCGACATATAGACACCCTGCCCTATCTCTGCATTGCACTCAAAGCACACAAATCTCCACCTGCCCTTCGTCCGATTCTTGGAGTTACACAGCAAAACAACCTTTCCCGATCTGCACCTTGCACAATACCTCACCGACCTTCGGTTACAGACCTGCACAACAGGCCCCCTCATTAGCTTTTTGCAAGTACAACAACGGCCTCATGCTCACTTAGCTACGCCCTTCAAGGTGTGATCAAGTCCCTGCGCAGTAAGGAAAATGAGCTTGATCAATAAAGCCGTGTACGACGTTGCTGGATCGTGCAAAGTGTTGAGGAAGTCATTTTCGATCTCAACCAGAATGCACAATCCCTTCGAGGCTGTCACCACATACAGCGGACTTTACAACTATGTACACGAACCTGCCACACGACAGGAATCTTAACAATATTCTGAACGCTGTTTGTGAAGCACATGATTATGCTTTGGGGTTGATCTCACAAGGACAAAGGCCAATACTGATGCACATGACCGTGGGAGGTCCTCATCATGGGGAGTGGGTTACTTACATGGGTCAGACACCTTCTCGGTGTCGGAAATAGAGCAACATCTGCGGTTCGTGGTCTCTAATACTTATCTTCATATGAGGTATGGCACTCTGCGCCATCAGGTGGTCGGTATCCCTCTGGGCACTAGTGCCTGACTAGAAATTGCCAACCTTGTGCTTTATTGGGAAGAAGCACAATTCATCGATGACCTTCGTCATTGAGATTTGTGTGCTGCACAAACATATGCATTCACATACCGATTCATCGATGACATTTTATCCTGGAAGTCATCACTGCCATCTCCTGCTCGGTATGGTCTTAAGTGGATAGACAGTATTGAGCAAGATGATTCATGTCTTTTCCTTGGGGCAAGAATCCCAGTTCAGCCCGATGGCTCACTTCGCATTGGCGTATTTGATAAGGTTGAGGCCTAGACGTTCCCTGTCATACGTTATCCTAGTGCTTCCTCCAATGCCCTGGCTCAGCAGCCTGTAGGTGTGCTCACGGGACAACTAACGAGATTCGAACATTGAGCGCCGGGCCTGTACCACCAGGCACTGTTTTTTTCTTGTGGAAGATAATTGTCTCTCTTTCTTACCTCCTACATCGATCTTCTTTTCGTGTTCCTTTTTCTCCCCATTTTTTCTTTGTTGCCTCTGTTGACGAACCTCCCGCGTGCTTTGCAGGAGTGGTATGCCCAATTTGCTGGTTTCATGATAAACTCAGCTACTTCACTCCTTTTTATGATAGATGTTGCTACGGATGTTTTGCTTGGCTCTTTGTCTTTCCAGGTAAGCTTGGTATTGTAACTATGTACATTCCTGTTGTACATTCTTGTTGTACATTCTTGTTGTACATCCCTTACATGTACATTCCTTGTGTACAATCTGTTTTGTCTATTCGTTGTGTACAACTGTTATGTACTCTTTTTCCTTCCGTGCACAATGTGATTGTGATGGCGGTCACCGCAAGGGTACGCGTGCTTTGCAGGAGTGGCATGCCCAATTTGCTGGTTTCATGATAAACTCAGCCAGTTCACTCCTTTTTATGACAGATGCTGTTACGGATGTTTTGCTTGGCTCTTTGTCTTGCCAGGTAAGCTTGGTATTGTAACTATGTATGGCAGTCACCGCAAGAGTATGGGTTGTACCCGTTTCCCGCGCAGTGGGTATAGTTACGGCCCGCCTAAGTTGGCCACACCCGGGCGGCTGCCCCCATGCCCACTCACCTCTTGTTCCATGTTTTTTTAGATAATCCTTCTACGCTGGTTTATGCATGTGTCAATTGCTTGGTGACATTTTTTTTTATATAGGCACTGTTGGTCTGTCGGAGCAAGGCTCCTGGCATTGCTGCTGTGAGCGCACATAGGGAGATGCAGGTTCGCATTCAAACTGGGCGCCTTCTTTGACAATGCTGTTGGTGGTGAACAGCAAAGGAAAAGGACGACGACAGAATCGGGACCTGAGCCGTCGGGCCTAAAGTCCTTTCACCTTGTGCACTCACCTCCATTTCTTTGCATTGGAAAATTGAAAAATCAAAAAATAATTGTTCCATAACCCATCAACAATGAATCTACAACTAAGGAATAATCAAGGGGCTACCCGGATACTTCCCACCCCTCTCGGGAGATTTCTTGTTGCTGGCATGGCAGGTGCTATACCAAGCTTTCCTCTTGGACACTATGTTCCGTTTGCTCATGCTCGCATGTCAAACCGCGAGGCATGTGTCTCTCATCGTGTAGATTGGCGTGCACACCTGTAGTAGAATACTAACTTGTATTCTGCAGGAGGTTGGCGCAAGAAACAACTCTGTGTTCTTAACAGTGTTATGCAGTCAAAGCGGTTTGAGTTGCAACTGCAAGGTGTTGATCAACAACCCCTTGAACCAGGTATGGACCCCCTCACTGTTCGAGGAGTGATTTATGCAATTGTTCATTTGCCTTAAGTAAATTTTTATGTTGGACAGACGATGCATTATGCACATCAATGGTGGCAAGAGCATTGGCATACACGGCGCTCTTCTGACTGCTTTTCGCCACTGCCATCTCTACCCTGCAATGTGTGGGCAACCAGCATTCAACTTTGCTGCTTGGCCCTTGGAATGCATCAGTCCTACCTTGTATCATACGTTTGAAGGTCTTGTTGATCATGCCCTCTGTCGACGGGATGCTGCACCCCGTGAAGGTTTCTGGGTTCGAAAACTTCGAACTCTTCATTCGATCAGTTTCAATGCAGTCCCTCCATTGACTAGACTGCCGTCTCCACGACGACACTTCCGCCCTCATCGTTGGACATAAATGGGCCCTCATCCCTTTGCTCCTCAGCC